AGTGGGACGCCGAGCTGGAGGCTCGGGCGGGAGCTCGCGCGAGCACATAGCAAGGTGCGTGCGCGGCGGCGGCGGACAGGTGAGCGGGCAGCTGGCGCACATTTCGACTGTGGGAGCTGCCAGGAGTTTGCTCTCTCCGTTCACACCCCTTTGCAGAATTTTACCACTCTCCCTCGCACAACACTGCGAAAAGAGATAGGAAGAGGCAGACTCCCTAGGGTGGGCAACGTGATCGACCGAGCGGCTTGCTGTGTGGTCGCCTTCTTGTGGCTCTCGTCGAGAGCGTTTTGCGTCCCGGCGGGTGGGAGAATGTGTGTCGTTGATGTGTCACTGTGTGCGTCACATCGATGTGGATAACAAGCACGGTCGATCCGTCAAAGCGATACACTCGTTCCTATCACGCTGGAAGGCTTGCACGGAGCTCTGTGCCGGCACAGAGAAGAGCCGTGCGGCAAGAAGAGCTCGATGGGGAGCGAGAATCGCCAAAGGTGCTCACCCAGGTTTCGGAAGTCCGCCTTGATGCGGTCAGTCCCCCCCAGGTTTGACCGCGCAGCTCGCAAGACTCGTCGAGCACTCGTAGCCTTTCTGCGCCTCTGACTCTGCAAGCTATGCGGGAAGAGCAGTTTATTCGCAATATATCGACGAGTTCGAGAGAGCCACAGGCTTTCGCTCGGGAGGGATTGAGTGCGTCGCGACGGACTTCAGGCTACACCTGAAAATCTGACGGTTCTCGCTCCCCATCGAGCTCTTCTTGCCGCACGGCTCTTCTGTGTGCCGGCACAGAGCTCCGTGCAAGCCTTCCAGCGTGATAGGAACGAGTGTATCGCTTTGACGGATCGACCGTGCTTGTTATCCACATCGATGTGACGCACACAGTGACACTTCAGACGACACACATTCTCCCACCCGCCGGGACGCAAAACGCTCTCGACGAGAGCCACAAGAAGGCGACCACACAGCAAGCCGCTCGGTCGATCACGTTGCTCGCTCGATGCCGGCGAGCGCATGGCGCACGCCTTGGACGGTGGCGAAGCCAAAAACACCGATGGTGGCCGTCCGCTGGCGTGAGCGGCGGCGGTCGAGACCTCACCCTTCGCGCCGACGACCCAACCTCACGCGGAACAACCCAACCCAACCACAACCCAACCCAACACGAAACAACCCAACTCAAAGCACGATTCTCAAGTTGGGCCCTCGGCGTGCCGTCCTCCCATCCCTCCCTTGGGTTGTCTGTTTTCTTTCTTTCTTTCTTTCTTTCTGGGCACGGGACTGGCGCGCACTGGCACTAACATAGAAGAATATCCAGTGCGCACCAGTGTCCCTTCGTCCTTCCAAAATCCTGCTCGTGCAGGTGGGGATCCTGTCCTCCTCCCCCAGCCCTCGTTTGCCTTTTTTCTTTTCTTTCTTCTTCGGAGGTGGGGGGGGGCGGCGCGGCGCGGCTCCGAGATAGCGCGAGATGGCCCGAGATTGCGCGGCGCGGCTCGAGATCGACCGAGAGATCGCGCGGTTCTGCAGCACCTCGGCATATCTCGGGCTCGGCGAGGTGGATGGGTTGGGCCGCAAGTTGGGGGCGAGGGGGCGACAGTGCTCAGTGCGGTAGATCGGTCAGCTCGGGGCGCAAGAGGTGGCCTGTGAGCCATCCGGCTTACTTACTCGACCGGCTTACACACACCCTGCGTTCTCGCACATGGTCATGGAGTGCGAGGCACCTCGATCCTGTACCGTGCGTGTTTGTTATGACCCCCCCAATGAGCTGGATGCACTCGAAGACTCGCTCTACATGTACATGTACATGTTGTTGCGCCATGCGGAATCGACCCTATCCAGTGCTCATGTGCTCAAGGTAACTCGTCTGTGGTCTGTCGCCATCCCAAACTGTAATACGCGAAGCTCAAAATCGCGGCTTTATTTACCGTGAGAGAGCAACATTTAAGTTTTGTTTTAGGTTGTGGATGGAACATTTAAGTGGATCCAAGTCGCGCGCGGCTCCAAAGGAGATTGCCACCTCGAGAACCTCGAGATATTACGCGACAACAGTAATACACAACAATGAGAGAGCCTAAAAGTACCTATAAGTCGTAGAATGAGAGCGAGACTCAATGACAACATTTACATTTACTACGCGCGACAACATTTACATGCGAAGCAGCTCCAAATCGCGACCGCTTTGTCTGGGCAGCCACATATGCGGCCGCGAGACTATGCAGTAGTAACGTTGGCGCTCACCATCTGCGTGCACGCCCTCCCTGATTTCCGGCCCGTTGAGAAGCGCGAGGAGGTGAACAGCAAAGTCTTTCCGACAAACGCTGTCGCCGACGCAGATGTGGATCAAGGGGAGAAGCATGAGAGGTACCTGCCCACAGCCAAGGCGACGAAGCCCAAGGCACACCAGGCTTTTGGAAAGGTCCCCGCCGTCCGTGGGACGCCCTGCTCCGCTGCTTGCGAAGGCGACCCGAGTGCAGAGGCGTGTGCCTCGTGCTGCCGCTCGGCGCCGCACGAGATTGATTGGCATTGCGGCGGCGACCAGCCGGTCGGATGCTGCTTGGGCGAGTGGAAAGAGGCGTGCTGGGACGTCGGCTCGGACGAGAACAACGGCCACGCCTGCAACCAGTGCGGACCCGCACGACCTGCCTGCTCCGTGAGCAATCCGTGCGCGAGCGACGCCTTTTGCAACTTTGACAACGGCGACAGCGGCTTCTGCGAGGCGTGCTCTGATTGCACGAGCGCCGGATCCACGTGCGACACGTGCGGACTGCCCGCTGCCGGCGCGAGCGACTGCAACAGCGCGTGCGAGCCAGCCAGCTCCAGACCGACGGCCACCTGCGTTTCCAGCATCTGCAGCTGCGAATGCACGCTTCATGCTACAGCGATTCTTGATCCTGATGAGTTCTTTACGGATAATTTTGCGGAATGCCTTGAGGAGTTCCTTGCCGCACCAGTTTGTGATCCCAACCAGAAGAAGTCCAAGGCATGCGGCAACGGTCGCCGCCTTGAGGCTGGCGACTACACCCTCTCCCTCGGCCAGGCGCTTGCCGCCGTCGAGGAGCTGGGCGGTGATCTCAACGCGACCGCCACGCACAAGTTCGCCTTGCTCCGCGAGGAGCAGTGCGACCGCCTAGCCGCCTTTGCCGACGAGGAGGAGAGGGAGGGCCACGCTCATCTTCCCCGCCTGAAGCTGGCGGAACTCGTTGGGGAGGACGGCGCTAGGCAGCTCTTCGCCTTCTTCAAGGACCACACGGAGGGGGCCCGCATCACCAACATATTCATCCGCAAGATGCGCAGCGATGTTGGTACCCACCTCAAGCTCCACAAGGACACCGACACCAACATCCTCAAGGTCTACCTGGGCGGCGAGTTTGAGGGCGGGGAGAGCATCGGCGTCAACGAGCAGAGCGGGCTGCAGGTCTTCCCAAGCACGAAAGGGTCCGGGCTCGTTCACGGCCCAGAGTACGTCCACGGTCTGAAGCCGCACTCCGGGACCAAGTATGTCCTCTACCTCGCCGGAGGCATTCTTCCCGGCAAAATAGACCTTGCCGAGTCTGCAGGACAGGACCCGCTGTTCCTCGATCGTCGCAGGACCCAAGAGAAGTACCTTCCCGCAGCTAAGAAGCTGGCAATGTTCAAGTACTTGCCCACAGCCAAGGCGACGAAGCCCAAGGCACACCAGGCTTTTGGAAAGGTCCCCGCCGTCCGTGGGACGCCCTGCTCCGCTGCTTGCGAAGGCGACCCGAGTGCAGAGGCGTGTGCCTCGTGCTGCCGCTCGGCGCCGCACGAGATTGATTGGCATTGCGGCGGCGACCAGCCGGTCGGATGCTGCTTGGGCGAGTGGAAAGAGGCGTGCTGGGACGTCGGCTCGGACGAGAACAACGGCCACGCCTGCAACCAGTGCAGACCCGGATTAGACATCCCTGTCGACTCTTCCGACTGCCCACGGCAAGTGAGTTTGTGCAGCTTCCGTGAACCCCCGCACGGTATAATCATTAACCGCCGGCCCGTGTGCGTGGCGTGGCGCGCAGGAGGAAACGGACGAACTCTTCTTGCTCGAGCTCAATACTCGACTAGCTCGCCGCCTCGGCATAATTCCGGACGGATGTTTCCTCCCTGAGGAGTTCTTCGCTTTTGCGGATGGAAGAGGTGAGGCTTGTGCCTCACCTCAATTGCAGCCAGGCTGCCCTTACACCTCAATTGCACAAGCATGCCAGCAGGAGTATCCCACTTGCTCCAGGAACGCATCCTCCGCACTCGAGAGGGTGCTATCTGAATCATTCGTAGCACAGTTCTCATCCGGTGCCACTCTCCAGGCCACGTGCGCAGCATTCGAACCCACGCCTCCCCCGCCCTCACCTCCGCCACCGTCCGGCCTGCCGCCGCTCTCGCCCTCGCCTCCAGCCGGCCCGCCGCCCTCGCCGCCGCCGCCCTCACCTCCAGCCGTCCCGCCGCCCTTGCCGCCGCCCTCGCCGCCCTCAACCCCGCCTTTGGCACCCTGCGAACGGCCGCTGTGGATGGTGACATGGCACATGCAAGGAGAAGGTGGTGGGATGGCTTACGGCGACGTTTTCACCAGCGAGGCAAGCGCACGCAGTGCCTACTACTTGAAGAGCGGTGGCCCGTTTGTGACGCGCCTCTACAGCCCCGAGTTGGAGGTCTTGCTCTTCAGTACCCGCTGGGTGAGCAGCTCGCAGTCCAGCATGCTGGATACTTGGGCGCGTGATGCACTGCACGCGGGAATGTGCCTGCCCTCGCCCCCGCCTCCCCCCAGCCCGCCGCCACCTCTCGTTTGCGTTGACGACTTCTGCAACTGTCGATGCACCTTGACTTTGGGACAGGGGTCAGACTCGCCAGACTTCCTGGAGATCCTGGACCGGGAGATCCTGGACCGTCGCAGGACTCAAGAGACGTCCCTACCCACGACCTCGGAGCCAGCGCACCGTGGCCGACAGCTCTTTCACTGTACGCCAAACCGCTGCGGCTACTGCCCCGAATGCCCAACTTGTGATGGGGGGTGCGGCACTTGCTGTGGCCCACGGCAAGAGTGCCAATCTCAGGTAAGTGTGGCCGTGCTCCCGAACCCGCCCCGTCACGAGGACACGCCCTCCGGAGGGCGTCTCAGCTAACCGCCGTCCCCGTGTGCGCGCACAGGAGGCGGTCAATTCCGCGCTTTTGGATCGCTTCAACATGCCGTTCGAATTCTTCGGCCCAGAACGCCGTCTCTCTGAAGGGGAGCCGTCGCCGTCTCCCGAGCCTTGCCCTGACTGCCAAGAGCCGTCGCCGTCTCCCGAGCCTTGCCCTGACTGCCAAGGGTTGTATTCTTCGATTGAACAAGCCTGCCAGCAAGCGACCTGCGCACAGACCGAGAGCGAAGTACGTGAGGTTTACCGATGGCGTTTTGGCATGGACGTGTCGGTATCGTGCGAGCCCACGCCGCCGTCGCCTCCCACGTCCCCGCCCTCGCCGCCAGCGCCTCCCGCATCCCCATCGCCTCCCTCGCCCCCGCCCTCCCCACTTTCGCCGCCACCTCTCTCATGCGCTTACGACTTCTGCAGCTGCGAATGCACCTTGAAATTTCCTTTGAGCCAGCCTGTCTCCGCTCCGACCATGGCTCCGACCGTTGGCTTCGGTGCCGACACGCCGACGTCTGCAGGACAGGACCCGCTGTTCCTCGATCGTCGCAGGACCCAAGAGAAGTACCTTCCCGCAGCTAAGAAGCTGGCAATGTTCAAGTACTTGCCCACAGCCAAGGCGACGAAGCCCAAGGCACACCAGGCTTTTGGAAAGGTCCCCGCCGTCCGTGGGACGCCCTGCTCCGCTGCTTGCGAAGGTGACCCGAGTGCAGAGGCGTGTGCCTCGTGCTGCCGCTCGGCGCCGCACGAGATTGATTGGCATTGCGGCGGCGACCAGCCGGTCGGATGCTGCTTGGGCGAGTGGAAAGAGGCGTGCTGGGACGTCGGCTCGGACGAGAACAACGGCCACGCCTGCAACCAGTGCGACGGGGCTGACTTCAACGAGTGCCCATGGCAAGTAAGTGTGTAGCAGTGTTCCCGAACCCGCCAAGTCGATCTCACACGCCCTCCAAGGCGTCTCAACTTATCGACGTCCCCGTGTGCGCGCACAGGTGGAGCTCGATTGGGCCCTTTTGAGTCACGAAAACTGGCAAGACTGGGAAGGAATAAATCGGCGTCTCTCTGAAGAAATGGCGGCGAACCTGATTGAACAAGCCTGCCAGCGGTCTTCCCCCACGTGCGAACAAGTTGAGAGCGATGTCCGTGAGGTTTACGGATGGCGTTACGGATGGCTTTTCGACACAGTGGACGTGTCGTCGGTATCGTGCGAGTCCACGCCGCCGTCGCCTCCCACGTCCCCGCCCTCGCCGCCAGCGCCTCCCGCGTCCCCATCGCCTCCCTCGCCCCCGCCTCCCCCCAATTCGCCGCCACCTCTCGTTTGCGTTGACGACTTCTGCAACTGTCGATGCACCTTGACTTTGGGACAGGAGCCAGACTCGCCAGACTTCCTGGAGATCCTGGACCGGGAGATCCTGGACCGTCGCAGGACTCAAGAGACGTCCCTACCCACGACCTCGGAGCCAGCGCACCGTGGCCGACAGCTCTTTCACTGTACGCCAAACCGCTGCGGCTACTGCCCCGAATGCCCAACTTGTGATGGGGGGTGCGGCACTTGCTGTGGCCCACGGCAAGAGTGCCAATCTCAGGTAAGTGTGGCCGTGCTCCCGAACCCGCCCCGTCACGAGGACACGCCCTCCGGAGGGCGTCTCAGCTAACCGCCGTCCCCGTGTGCGCGCACAGGAGGCGGTCAATTCCGCGCTTTTGGATCGCTTCAACATGCCGTTCGAATTCTTCGGCGTTCCCGGGGTCGAAGAGTATTCTTCGATTGAACAAGCCTGCCAGCAAGCGACTTGCGCACAGACCGAGAGCGAAGTACGTGAGGTTTACCGATGGCGTTTCGGCATGGACGTGTCGTCGGTATCGTGCGAGCCCACGCCGCCGCCGCCTCCCACGTCCCCGCCCTCGCCGCCGCCGCCTCCCACGTCCCCGACGCCTCCCTCGCCGCCACCTCTCGTCTGCGCTTACGACTTCTGCAGCTGCGAATGCACCTTGTTTCCTGTCCGTCCGGCGTACAATGGCTGGGAGAGCTTCCCTTCGACGGGTTACTGTCGGAGCGATCTCGACGAGGAGGTGTGCGATGGACCTGCTTCCGACTGCTCCCTGCAGCACTGCATCGACTCTTGCACAGATGATTATTCGAGCACGACGAACGTCGAGTACCACTGCGACAATCCCGATGACTGCTGGTGCTACTGCCAGTCTGGCTGCGAGTGCATGGAAGACGTTGGCGACAGCAGCACGTGGGCGCCCGTCGGCACTCTTGTGCTTCCGGAGGCATGCAACGATTGGGGCGAGATTATCAGGTTCCAAGAGGGGTTTGCCTTCAACGAGTGCCCATCCCAAGTAAGTAGCAGCGCTCCCGAACCCGCCCAGTCGATCACACACGTCCCCCTGAGGGCGTCTCAACCAAGTGACCGCCGGCCGCGTGTGCGCGCACAGGAGGATATCAACTCCATGCTTTTGAATCACTTCAACTGGGACCCAGCGTACGCGTCCTCACTGTACACGTCGATTGAAGGAGTCTGCCAGCAGGCCTCGCCCACATGCACACAGATGGAGAGCATACTACATGCACATGTGCCTCAGCTCGGCTCGGCAACGTGCGCACCATTGCCAACCCCGCCGTCGCCGCCCCCGTCCACCCCTCCGCCATCCGCCCCGCCCACCACTCCGCCACCCACCCCGCCGCCGCCCACGCCGCTGCCGCGATTGCCTCCTTCCCCGCCAGCACAGTGCAAGATCTACTGCGCCTACCGGACACATCCGATTGAAACGAAGTGCAAGTGGGCCGGCTGCGGCGGCTGCACGGAGTGCTCGGCTCCACCGCGACTGCCTCCTTCTCCGCCAGCACAGTGCAAGACGTACTGCGCCTACCGAACACATCCGATCGAAACGAAGTGCAAGTGGGCCGGCTGCGGCGGCTGCACGGAGTGCTCGGCTCCACCGCGACTGCCTCCTTCTCCGCCAGCACAGTGCAAGACGTACTGCGCCTACCGAACACATCCGATCGAAACGAAGTGCAAGTGGAGCGAATGCAGCGGCTGCACAGACTGCGATTAACGACGACCGAGGGCCACCCCTGTGTGAACCGCTTCTGCCCGCTCGGTCGCCTTGCCCAAGGCGACCCTCGTGGCCGCCAGCCGTGGCACGCCTGGAGACGGGGGTGTGGAGGGGGGGGGGGGGCAGCCCGGCGGGCCGAGTTGGCTGGGAATAGGGTGCTGTGCTCTGCCGGCAGATCGGGGGGGGGGGGGGGGGGGGCTTTGGCCCACTTTTGGGGCCCGGGCCTTTAAAAAAGGGGGGGGGGCCTGGAATCACCCGGGGCCCGGGGCCCCCCCCCCGATTTTTTGAGGGGAAACTTAAAAAAAAAAAAAAATGGCCCAAAACTTTTAAAAAAAAAAGGCCACCTTTTCTTCCCCTCAAAAACACCTCAAAAACTCCCCAAGGGCCGGCAAAAGCCCCAAAAAAAAAAAAAACCCTTGGCCGGCCCCCTTTGCCCCGGATTAAATTTTGGGAAAACCCCGGGGTTTCCTCTTCCCAGGGGAGAGGGGCCCCGGCAAAAAATTTTTTTTCCCCC